GCCCAACACTACTCCACAGGTAGGTAATATTAAGATTCCTCCACCTTTTCCCTAAAGGCTAGTTAAAAAGAATCAGGATAGTCATTTTAAGAAGTTCTTTGAGATTCTAAAACAGTTGCATATCAATATACCTCTCATAGATGCTTTAGAACAAATGCCTAACTACACTAAGTTTTTAAAAGACATCATATCTAGGCGTAAGAAGTTAGGTGAGCATGAGACGGTAGCCTTGACAAAGTGTAGTAGTGATGCTCTAGGGAATCAATTGCTTGTTAAATGTAAGGACCCAGGTAGTTTTACCATCTCTTGCTCAATAGGAGGTAAAAACCTAGGAAGAGCATTGTGTGACTTAGGAGCAAGCATTAATCTTATGCCTCTTTCTGTCTTTAAAGAGTTAAATATAGGAGAAGCTCGCCCCACTATTGTCACTTTACAACTAGCTGATAGATCCATAAATAAACCGAAGGAAAAATAGAAGATGTGCTTGTTAAAGTTGATAAGTTTATTTTTCTCGCTGATTTCATAATTTTGGACTGTGAAGCAGATCTTGAGGTGCCGATCATTCTTGGGACGCCATTCTTAGGAATTGGAGATACGGTTTTCAATGTTAGGAAAGGAAAGATCACGATGAAGGTCAATGATGAGCAGGTAACCTTCAATGTCCTCGATGCGATGCGTCTCCAGGATGAAGTCGAGGAGTGCTCTACAATAGGAGCAATCAGGGAGGAACTCCAGCAAATGATGGTGGAAGACTTAGAAGCAGATTTAGAGGCCGCTAAAAAAGAATCCAAAATTACGCCTGGCACAATTTTGTCCCAATTTGAGTGTTTTGAGTTTTTGCAGCTAACAATAGCGGATTAACCTCCAGAATTGGAAAAGAAACCCCTACCTTCTCATTTAAAATATGCTTATTTGGGTTTAAACGATACTTTGCCCGTTATCATTTCTTCATATTTGTCTAATAAACATGAATCTTTGCTTTTGCAGGTTTTATCAAAGTACAAGAGGGCTATTGGATGGACTATAGTGGACATAAGAGAAATTAACCCTACATTTTGTGTAATTGGGGGTATGGTGTATTGTTGCCATAACTAATCACTTATTTTTTTCTTTTCATTAATGGAACATGAGACGGAGGAAAAACCTGGGGGGTTTCAGTCACAACAAAAGGACACCTGGAAACTCAGATTGTCCTCAATGGCTTGCAACCCAACTAAGAAAAAGACCGGATCCTAGAAAACTTGCAATTTGCCTCAGTGGCTAAAACCAATTAAAGAAAGTTACAATTATTTGCTTCCACAATTCAACAACTCAACCTGGTTCTAAACAACAATAATGAATCCGGGCAGCTGACAGCTCGGTAAAGAACAAGTATGAAATGAAAAGAAAAGAACAAAAACATAAAACAAAAGAAAGAAACGCCCCGTGAGTCAACAAACTCTGACAACGTTGGCACTAAGTTTCTAACGCAAAGGGCAAGGAAATCCCGGTCCAACTATCTTAACAAAACATAACTAGTGGTCCCTCCTCGGTCAAGCCTTCTCCACGTCATCACCATGGCCGAGGGTCTTGTTCACACCTGAAACCACAACATAGAGGGGGGGTGAGTAGATAATATACTCCGTAAGTAGCCCTTACCAAACAGACACCAAACAGCATACTCACAATCACATCGGTATCATGCACAACAATCAAAGTAATAAACATCAAGAACTAATAACAGTAAAGTGACCTCTCGACACTCCAACCAACTTCGGAATTATCGTGGCTTTGATTTGCACAACCCGCTAACTCCTAACCCTTTCAACATACAACTTGTACCAAACCCTGAGTTAGTACTCCAAGGCTAGCCCTTCGAGGCGCATCGGTCCTTGACATTTATCCCCAAGGTACCGATAACCCTCCATAGAAGCTTGGCGTTCGACCTTGCTATTTATTCCCAAGGTCTTGGGTTATACACCGGTCTTTGACATTTATTCCCAAGGTACCGACATCTGATCAACGTATTGGTTCTTGGCG